CCCCTGGAGGGAGGGAGGGAGGGAGAGCCCGAGCTGGCCTGGCTTTGGCGAGAGATGGAGGGGACCCCCAAAGGGCATCTGCTGGGACACCTGTCTGTCTCCCTTTGGCTGCAGCCCACCCACCTTCCCGGGTGCCTGGGGGGCTCCAGTGGGGAAGGCTCGCCCCTCTCCAAGGAAGACGAGGGAGAAGACGGAGAAGAGCAGGGAAGCCATCGGTGGTGCGGCCATGGTCGGGGCTTCGGCTTGGAGGCTGGGGGAGTGTCCGGCCACCGGGCGAGGGCAGCCCTCCTCTTTATGGCCTCCCGAGGAGCCCAAGATTGCGCAAAGTGGGGCTGCCCACGGGGGGCGGGACTGGGGGTGGGGGGCTGGCACCGGGCCCCAGCCTCTTTCTTGGAAGGAAAGACGGAAGGAAGGAATTGCCGGTCTTGCCCAACCTGCACCGGGGATTAGACACACACCCGTGGAAAGAATAACAACAACAACACTCACAGACAAGATGCCTTTGTTCCTTGGGGGGGAGGGCCAGGATTTCCTCAGTGGGGCTATCATAACATATAATATAATATAATATAATATAATATAATATAATATTATATTATATTATATTATATTATATTACCGTATATTCCAGCATATAAGGCGACTGGGCATATAAGACGACCCCCAACTTTTCCAGTTAAAATATAGAGTTAAGACGACCCCCATGCATAAGACTACACCCGTGTATAAGACGACCCCTGACTTTTGAGAAGATTTTCTTGGGTTTAAAAGTAGTCTTATACGCCAGAATATACTGTATATTATATTATATTATATTATATTATATTATATTATATTATATTATATTATGGTGTAACATTAGAAAATGTGGACCATTTCCGCTCCCTTGGCAGCCACAGAAGTCAACATCGACACCGAAATACAACACCGCCTGAGCTCTGCGAGTGCAGCATTTTTCCGAATGAAGCAGAGAGTGTTTGAGGACTGAAACATCCGTAGGGAGACCAAGGGGCTTGTTTATAAAGCTCTTCCCCTCCCAACCCTGCTATACGCCTGCGAAACATGGACTGTCTACAGACATCAACATCGACACTGAAATACAACACCGCCTGAGCTCTGCGAGTGCAGCATTTTTCCAAATGAAGCAGAGAGTGTTTGAGGACTGGGACATCCGTAGGGAGACCAAGGGGCTTGTTTATAAAGCCATTGTCTTCCCAACCCTGCTATATGCCTGCGAAACGTGGACTGTCTACAGATGTCAACATTGACAATGAAATACAACACCGCCTGAGCTCTGCGAGTGCAGCATTTTCCCGAATGAAGCAGAGAGTGTTTGAGGACTGGGACATCCGTAGGGAGACCAAGAGGCTTGTTTATAAAGCTATTGTCCTCCCAACCCTGCTATATGCCTGCGAAACGTGGACTGTCTACAGATGTCAACATCGACACCGAAATACAACACCGCCTGAGCTCTGCAAGTGCAGCATTTTCCCGAATGAAGCAGAGAGTGTTTGAGGACCGGGACATCCGTAGGGAGACCAAGGGGCTTGTTATAAAGCTATTGTCCTCCCAACCCTGCTATACACCTGCGAAACGTGGACTGTCTACAGACATCAACATTGAGACTGAAATACAACACTGCCTGAGCTCTGCGAGTGCAGCATTTTCCCGAATGAAGCAGAGAGTGTTTGAGGACCGGGACATCCGTAGGGATACCAAGGTGCTTGTCTATAAAGCTATTGTCCTCCCAACGCTGCTTCAAAATACAGGAAAGCAAGGAGATTCCACCTAAACATGAGGAAGAACTTTCTGACTGTGAGAGCTGTTCAGCAGTGGAACTCTCTGCCCTGGAGGGTGGTGGAGGCTCTTTCTTTGGAAGCCTTTAAACAGAGGCTGGGTGGCCATCTGTCAGGGGTGCTTTGAATACAATTTCCCTGCTTCTTGGCAGAATGGGGTTGGACTGGATGGCCCACCAGGTCTCTTCCCACTCTAGGATTCTGTGATATAATAATAATAATAATAATAATAATAATAATAATTCTTCCTTCTTTCTTTCTTTAGGCGATCCCTCGTTGGACGAGTAAGATGGTCTTCCATTATGGATTTCCCTGTGGGTCCGTATGTGGCTGTGGAGCCCTATTCTTGACTCACATCTTCTTCCGCAGTGAGAACATCGGTTTCCAGGTGGAAGGCGGTCCCGGTCGGGGTTGGCTTGATGTGCCTTCCTCTTGGCACATTTCTCTCTTTCACCCTCCATTCGTGCCTCTTCAAATTCTGCAGCACTGCTGGTCACAGCTGACCTCCAGCTGGAGCGCTCAAGAGCCAGGGCTTCCCAGTTCTCAGTGTCTATGCCAGAGTTTTTAAGGTTGGCTTTGAGCCCATCTTTAAATCTCTTTTCCTGTCCACCAACGTTCCGTTTTCCGTTCTTAAGTTCAGAGTAGAGCAACTGCTTTGGGAGACGGTGGTCAGGCATCTGGACAACGTGGCCGGTCCAGCGGAGTTGATGGCAGAGGACCATCGCTTCAATGCTGGTGGTCTTTGCTTCTTCCAGCACGCTGACGTTTGTCCGCCTGTCTTCCCAAGAGATTTGCAGGATTTTCCGGAGGCAGCGCTGATGGAATCGTTCCAGGAGTTGCATGTGACGTCTGTAGACAGTCCACGTCTCGCAGGCATACAGCAGGGTTGGGAAAGCTGAACATGATCCACCAGTGTGATGCTGAAGCTTTGAAAAGGCAAATGCAATGGTGCCTCCTTTCACAGCAGGAGGAAGGTGGGACTGGATGGCCTCTGGGTGCCCCTTCCAGCTCCAGGAGTGGCTCAAGGAGGGCATGGCCCAGGCCGTGAGGCCCATGATGTGCTGCCCAAGGCTGAGCCATGCTCTCGGGGAGGGCCATTACGGGCAAGGCAGGCGAGGGTATTTCCCAGAGGAAGGAAGGAAGGGAGCTTTGCAATCGGGGCTTTCCATCTCTGACCGCCTCCCCCTCTTCTCTTGACCGGCCTGGAGTGGCACGGTGGCATGGAAGAGGAGGAGGAGGAGGAGCCCACTAAGACTGGTCAAATCAAGACTCAGGACTCCAGGAAAGGCAGCATTTGAGGGAAATGTGGCCTCCGCTGCCCGCCTTCCTCTGGACACACAGGGCAGACTCCACATCTGGTGTCAGGCCCAGAAAAAGTGGGGCCAAGGTTCCCCTGCAGCTTGGCAACATTCCTCCTGGAAGGTCAACCTGACCCAGGGCGGGGTGGACGCGCAGCCTCTTCGGTCAGCAGCAGCCTCTGCAATGGGGCCACCGGTCAAAACCTCCAAATGGAGAGCAAAGGCTGCATTGGGCTTCTACGTAGTCTATATTCCATGAGAGATGGAAGGGACCCCCAAAGGTCATCCAGTCCAACCCCTTTCTGTCTGCAAGACAGGAAGCCCCCACTCAAGCTCTCCCAACAGATAGCCACCTAGCCTCTGCTTAGATCAGGCTTGGGCCCTCCCTCCCTCCCTCCAGAGGTTTTGGACTCCAACTCCCACCATTCCTAACAGCCTACCGGAGAGCAAAGGCAGCAGAGGTCCACAGCAAGAGTGGGCTCACCTCAGGATGCCCCACACGCTTTGGAGGAGGGGGCCCTGGAGTCCCTCAAATGCCCACCCACCACTTGGAGACCACCCTGATCAACCTGACCCAGGACGGGGTGGACGTGCAGTCTCTTCCGTCAGCAGCAGCCTCTGCAATGGTGGGAGTTGGAGTCCAAAACCTCTGGAGGGAGGGCCCAAGCCTGATCTAAGCAGAGGCTAGGTGGCTATCTGTTGTGAGAGCTTGAGTGGGGGCTTCCTGTCTTGCAGACAGAAAGGGGTTGGACTGGATGACCTTTGGGGATCCCTTCCATCTCTCATAGAATCATACTGTGTTTGGGGGTCCCTATGGAGACTTCTTGTCCACGGTATTGGACTTCTGCATGGTATTCAAGAAGGTCAGAGCATGGTCCAGAGTGACTCCCAGGTATTTGGGTGTGCTGCAATGCTCCAGTGGGATTCCTTCCCGGGTAATAATCCTCAGAGCTCGAGATACTTGCCTGTTCTTAAAGTGAGAAGTGCACGTCTGTGTTTTAGATGGATTAGGAATCAGATGGGTTTCCCTGTAATAGACAATAAGAGCTCCTAAATCTGCAGAGAACTTCTGTTCAACCATCTCAAAACTGCCTGCTTGGGCGGTGATGGCACGATCGTCAGCATAGATGAAACTCTCTGTCCCTTCTGGCAGTGGCTGGTCATTTGTGTAGATGTATTGTCAAAGGCTTTCATGGCTGGAAACACTGGGTTGTAGAATGCTTCTAGAACATGGCCAAATAACCCCCAAAAAACCTACAACAACCCAAATTTTTACGCTTATATTTTGTTTTGTTAATCGTATGGTTATGTTGTTTTTTATTTTGTACATTTTGTGATGTTACCTGGGAACTGCTCTTAGTCCCCTTGGGGAGATGGAGCAGTATATAAATAAAGTATAATAATAATAATAATAATTATTATTATTATTATTTGTATCAATGTTAAACATGAATGGGGCAAGCATGCTCCCCTGAGGCAGCCCGTTCTTCTGTTTTCGCCATCTACTTCTCTGAGTTTCCCTGTAATAGGCAGTAAGAGCACCTAAAGCTTCGGAAAGCTTCTGTTCAATCTTTTCAAAGCTCCCTGCTTGGGTGGTGATGGCACAATCGTCAGCATAGATGAAAATCTCTGTTCCTTCTGGCAGTGGCTGGTCATTTGTGTCTATGTTAAATATTGATGGAACAAGTTGGTTTTTCCTGTAATAGGCAGTAAGAGCACCTAAAGCTTCGGAAAGCTTCTGTTCAATCCTTTCAAAGCTCCCTGCTTGGGTGGTGATGGCACGATCGTCAGCATAGATGAAACTCTATGACGCGTCTGGCAGTGGCCGGTCATTTGTGTCAATGTTAAACATTGATGGAACAAGTTGGTTTTCCCTGTAATAGGCAGTAAGATCACCTAAAGCTTCGGAAAGCTTCTGTTCAATCTTTTCAAAGCTCCCTGCTTGGGTGGTGATGGCACAATCGTCAGCATAGATGAAAATCTCTGTTCCTTCTGGCAGTGGCTGGTCATTTGTGTCTATGTTAAATATTGATGGAGCAAGCCGGTTTTCCCTGTAATAGGCAGTAAGGGCACCTAGAGCTTCAGAGAGCTTCTGTTCAACAATCTCAAAGCTCCCTGCTTGAGTGGTGATGGCATGACCATCAGCATAGATGAAACTCTCCGTCCCTTCTGGCAGTGGCTGGTCATGTGTGTCGATGTTGAACATGGATGGAGCAAGCACGCTCCCCTGAGGCAGGC